CACCAGCATTCCAAATGGCTATTTCTGCCTGACCAGATTATAAACCCCCGAGGTTAAAGTCTGTGTTTTGCTTCTTTTGATACCTAGCATAACGCATGGCCCAAAGAAAACACTCAATAAGCATTAATCAAATAAGAGAACTGATGAATGAATCACTACTTAAATGATGCCCAAAACAAAACTTGGCTATTTTTAATACTGTTCATTAATTTACTAACTGACTCCTTACTAAATGCCTACTACAAATCAGATGTGGTGCCAAGTTGTAGATACACGAACATGGGCCAAGTCAATGACACTCTTGCCCTCTTAGTGAGACAGCCTAAAATTAAAAATGCTTATTTCTAGGTATGATTGTATAGCAACAAAAATTTCTGTTGCCTCAGAATTTCTAAGGTGTTATATTACAGGATCACAGTTCTTATCTGGGAAAGGGCAAGGTTTTACTAAGAAGAGCAAATACTGCCTAAAGATAATTATGTCTACTACATTATATCAAAGAGGACACCCAGAGACATGCCAAAGTAGGTAGGTAAAAGCCCAGGAGGCCCTAATATTACACAAAGGACTACAGGCAACAAAGGAAGGTTGGTAGCAGGAAAATGGTCTTTTGGGAAGAACACACCAATTGGTTATCTAATACCAAATGGTCAGCACTGAAAACATATGTACAAGCAACATCATACTGAGCAGTATGTATATTTATATTTAGGATTATTAATGAGAAAAGAGGCTGTGGATTTGAAAGAGAAGAAGGGAAGACCAAATGGGAGGGCTTGAAGGGAGGAAAGGTAAGAGAGAAATGATACAATAATACTATAATATAGAAAATAAAAGCAAAATTTAAGAAAGTAGAAAAATGAATTCAAGCAATGGAATAGGGGGTAGTGTCAATGCCTTAGCATCCTTCCTATTCTAAAGATGGGAGAAGGTCTTTCACTCTGGCTCCTGTTATAGAAAACACTGATACCTTTTGCAGATGCCATGTATTTACTGAGATGCTGGCATTACAACAAGTTTCCAAGCTTCAGAAAGGAAGAATTCTTCTGAGAACACCTTATGTGTCCTCAGTAGTTTGGAATTCATATGAAGACAGTAGGTTTGCTAGAATATCCAACAGGGGGTGAAAGCAGAAAGGTTAATTAATAGTTTATTAACATGTCACAAGGCAAGAATACCTTAGATCTTAATGGGCCAAATAAATGGTGGGGAAGGTAGCCAAATATGAGTCTACTTGGCAGCATGTCAGAGAGTAAAGATATATTCTTAAATATGGGAGTCCTTGGAATAAGAAACTGTACAGGATATACTGCTAGAGGTGATGACCAAGAGAATATGGTAAGATGTTTCAGAAAAGTTCATTATTCACATGGAATTATGTAGTATGTGACACCACTTAGAAATTTTGAGGAACTTGAGTTCAAGTCAAGCATTACCAGTGCTTCCAGCTTAGCTATTAAAAGCACCTGTAGCTAAAATTCAGTCATATAAAGCCTTCTACCATTCCCTAGACCTCCAGTCTGTACTGACGGTCAAATCAGCCACAGGAGTGAGGGAATTCCACACACAAGCAGATAAACTTTGGAAAAACAATGTGTTCTATATTGCTTCACATATTAAGACAAAGGTGACTACTGAGATAGAAGAAAGGAAAAGAAAAGTGTGTTGAACTGGCTATGAGATAGGTTTTCTTACAGAATGATTATTTTTAAAATTTTTATAATGCAATATTTTAATGTATATGTCACCTTTACTTTAGCTGTCTGTTCAACTATAAAGTGTGTGTATGAGTTTGTGTGTGTGTGTGTGTGTGTGTGTGTGTGTGTGTGTGTTTGTCACATGGCATAGCATGTTATTACAGAAAATCAATGGAATCCTCAGGTGTCCTCCAAGGGCAAGGAACACAGAGCCAACTGAGTGTGTTCAATGGCAGTGATTGCAGAATAACAAGGCCATTGTTTATTCAGACCCTTTGGAATGTAACACATTGATAAGATTATCAAGAAAACACTGGCATGTGCATACATGCAAATATATGTTTATTATGGTAACTTCTGGTCATAAGGTTCTTTGCAAATCTTCTAGTATAATCTGCCATCTCTGTGAGCAGTCATTTCTACTACAGTATGAATAGGGTAAAAAGTAACAACATAACTAAAGAGAGTTCTGTGACTACCATCTATAATGTGGGATAAACAATTTATACAGGTAGTGCTTCGTCTTGTCCTCATTTAATATTTAAAAGGGCAACTAAAGATGTTCTTATTTTAGAAATCAGTAAACAGGCTTAGGGGGGTGAGGAGGAATGAAAGCCCTAAGGCTGAAATCCAGGCTTGCCTATAATATATCTTTATACATGTATTCTAAACTTTCCAGAGTCTGCTGGAAAACTTTAGTGAATAGATCTATGATATTAGGCAAATCACATTTCTCTATACTACATACACTATTATTATTACAACATTTCCCTTATATTAAAACTCTATCCATTGCACACACAAATTTGCTCCTGCCCATGCTCCATGAAATCCTCTCCAACCCATGCTCATGCAAACAACCCTACTCAGTGGGTCACACATGCACAAAAGGCATCAAAGTAGGAGTCAGACTTGTTGAAGGGTAAGATACTAGTTTCAGGAGGAAAGGGGATGCTGAAAGAGGATACCTAGGAGGTAACAATGACCAAACTTTATTTTGTGGATACATGAAAATTACAATGAATAAAGCAAGCAAAATATCCTCTAATGTTTTCTGTAAATTTTCATGATCAGATTCCACTCCTGGTCTGCTTTATACTATACATAGTCTCATGCGGCAGGGTCATGACTGTTCATTAATTTATTAATCAGCAGTAAGGACTCATTAATCATCTAAATTCAGCTCCATGTATTTTAGGTGCTGAGCTTAATACAATGAGGTTGGCAAAGTGCCTGTATCCATAGTGTGTACATGATGTTGGTTACCTCCCATACATCTTTCCCATTCACTCTACTCAAAACCTTCAATATACTCACATGTAAGTGCATTTATAATTGTATTTATAATTTTTCATATTTACAAAAGCAGAAAAGAAGCCCTTCAATAGATAAGATGGTAAAACAAATGACTGACACATCAAGTTTACTATTACTAAGTCATTAGAGATTGCTTATGGGATTCGGATATGCATCAGTGGTAGAATGCTTGCCTAACGCCTGTAAGACTAGATTCAGTCTGCACCACTGCAAAGAAGATATGATCATAATATCTTTTTTTTAAGGCCCTGAGAAATGACATAGCATAGAATGACATAAAACTTGGATCTCAATTCTTTATGCATACAAATTAAAAGGTGTTTTTCCACAGATGTAAACAGAAATGAAGGTGAAGGGCATACATTAATTTCTTAACAACAGTTATGTATTGGACAGTGAACAGCAATAATGTTTCTGTCTTTCTATAAACATGTAAAATGTACCTGTGTATTCTGTTCAGGGTGTTACAGTAGGCTCTGGAGCAGTTGGACTGGTAACACAATAGACCATCTGTTCAGGAACTGTAGTGTTTATAAATTAATGAATATTTATGTATATGTATATGTAAGTATATGGTTGGGATTATTTATTTTCCATGACTCCTGCTTTAATCCCACTTTCTCTCCATCATGCATATGAGTCACTTCTCTTCACAGTCAGTTGAGAGTTGACTATGTTTAATAATAGCCTAAAAACACATGTAGGAAGAGAAATCTGCTGGTGGCAGAAGGTTAACCACTATGTGTTCAAAGCCAAGTATAAAATTATTTTAAATTATATCCTCTTTGTTTATTTTTCTGAGTTCCTGATTGTCTCTACAGGAAAGTATCACTGATCAGTGACCATTTTCTTAGCAATAGTTTTGCCCATTGATGCAGAGTCATAATAGTTCCATAGAATGAATATCACATTTACAAAACTGAAAATCTCATTTTGCAAATAAGTGATGACTCTTTTCATTGCAATGGGCAGTTGCACGTTAAATGCCCTCTGTTTTGACATTATCTGCTCATAGTTTGTGACCAACACTTTAGCTGTCTGTTAAATTGTAAAATATGTGTTTGTGAATCTTGCATTTTAATGGCATGCCGTGATGGTAGTAAGTAATAGCTAGAGAGAAATAAGCAAATGAACCCGTTTGGCATGAAGTCATTGAGTAGATTAGAATTTCTATTAACTGAAATGGATCAGCAATTATGTAGCTGAAAAAAGCTGCGAGTATTTCTGACATCTGGACTGAAATATGTATGTGGCATAAGTACATTATTCTATTTGTTACTCCACAAAAATATTTTAAAAGATGTCAGTGATAGGACACTTGCTTCCATCTGAGGATAGAAACTTTATATTTATCTTTTGGAAGTATGAGACTAAATTAAGTTGTAAAATTATTTCCTTGGTATTTAGTCCACCTGTGTCATAGTCACAAGTCTCCTCTATATTGTGATCTTATTTTGCAAATACCAGAGATAACATGCTACATGCTCTAACACTTCTCATCACATTAAATGTAACTCAACTGAACATAAGATCAAGCCAAAAATGATAAGGGATTACATCTCAATTCTTTTCTAGAACTGGCTTTTGGAGAGATCATCCAATCAGCATGAGACTGAGTATGCTGAATGCTAAATCAAACTCACACAGAACACTGAAGCCAATAGCTCAATGTACTCTTCAAAATGAGAAAACACATATGTTTGCAGTTCTAGGGAGCTGGGGTATTCTGTAAGAAGGACACTTTTCATTATTTAACTAGTATTTGTTACAGTATAAGACCCGCCTTACATAAAAATGATAGGATTTTGAGCCTTTCCCATATTATCAGTCTTGACACTTTCAATCACAGCATTTTTTTCTTAATGCACTTGCTTATCCAACAGTATAGTAAAATGGCAAAATTTCTGTCCTCACAGAATTTTCTGGTACGTAAGACCTTTTGAGAGCCTCTCAGGCCACTTGCTGCCAAGTGAGAGTATTTCTTACCTTTGGCAGAGATGCCCTGGAACCTGAACTCTGGGTAGTCATTGTCAGGACTGTTGTGATGCCAAGGGCAACCCTGGCAGGGGCCGCATCCATGTTTATCCAAAAGGAGACCCAGGACAAAATGACTATCAACAGGCTGGGTATGTACATCTGGATCAAATAATAGCCCATCTGGCGTTCCAGGTGAAACTTGACCTCAATGCAGGTAAACTTTCCTGGAAGCAGAAGAGGATCATTTGAAGTCTCACTTGAAATAACTTTCCCTTCTACTCTCTTATTCGATTTTGATAAATGAAGAACATTGGAAACAGATTGGGAAGATTGCAGGCAAATGCTCAGCTTACACAATCAATTCAACTTTTCTAATTCTTCTAGTAATGGAAATAATAGTGTAAGCATAAGGGAGCTAAATAGTCTTTGGACTAAAATCATATGATATTGATCTGGTCCAGATTATTTTAGATAGGACCTTTGGCATTTGCAAGACTGACAAAAATTAAGAATGTTTGTGTTGTATGTAATATATAACACATAATGTGTAACCATTAACATATTCTATGTACAGTGCAATATATAAAACATCAAGTAATATGGAACAATTGAAACCAATCTCGTGTGTGTGTGTGTGTGTGTGTGTGTGTGTGTGTGTGTGTGTGTGTGTGTGTTCCTGGGGTTCACATGTGTGTTTTTGCTTGTGGAAACAGAGGTCAACCTCAGGTGTCAATATTCAGGTGCCTTCCATCTTGGTTTTTGAGGCAGTCTCTCACCAGAACCTGGGGGCTCTCAAATTAGAGTAGTGACTACCTGTGTCCATCTCCCCAGTGCTGGAGCTACAATCATGTGCCATCATTCCCTGAGTGCTGAGATTTGAACTCAGGTTCACGTGCTTGCACGACAAGCACTTTACTGAGTGAACTAAGATTCCAGTCCCTCAACCCCTTCTAAGTGGTTACAAGACCATCCCGAGTATTTGGATAATTGTATATCTTTGTATTTTAAATGGTAAAACCAACGAGTACATTTATAGAGTATGTGTACATCCTGTTTGTTGTGAAAACTTTCTACCGTTTGGGAATTCTTGAAGATAGAGTATTCATTCATCGAAACTGTTTATAGTGTTACTTCATCTATAAAATTCAGTGCACAGGAAGATGCTGCAACTTTTTAACATCACTAGGAAGAAGTAGATGTTCTTGCCTCTTTCTACATTTTTCTCTCCTTTGTTGGCTTTGAGTTAGACCCTGGAAGGTTATTTTGTTATTTCAGGCAAAGAATAAAGATTTGGAAGTATTCCTTGGAGTCAGGTTTTAGTGACTTTCATAAGGAGCTGCTGTTGGCTGCTCTGGGCTGTTCTGCTCCCAAGAAACCCAAGGCAGTTACTGATGACTACCTTGCTACCATCAGAATTCATGTTATCAACAGACCAGAACATTTGAAATAAAAGGTATCAGCCTTCCTGGGCAGGTATAATCTTCCAGGCAACAATAGATACCCACTTGTTGTCAACATTTCAACCTTGCCCACCACGTGTGTCTTTCAATGCTAAAAATAGCACCCGACTTTAAAGCCAGCTGAATTCTCTCCAGGTGATGCTCATCCATACTCATATTGCTCTCGAGAACTGCAGAGAACATCTCTATTTCTGGGTTTCCACAGACCTATGTCATTATCACTTTCTTCCACTAAGGCCAGGAGTGCAAATTGAACTGAGAGTACAATATAATGAGTGGATACAAGGAACAGCCATGATTTATGTTTTCTAAACAACTAATGAGGTCTTCTACAGCTTTATTCAGACTCAGTTGACAGCAAGATCTCAGTAAGAGAAGAGCAAAGGATTCCTAATTCTGTCTTCTGCCTTTTGGGGAGATGAGCTGCTGCACTCACAGGCCTATCCCACGGCTTCAGGAATACTAAATATGGAGGGTTCCCTTAACCTCCATTTGCTTCTTCGTGAATGGGCAACTATTAAGATAAAAGGATACTGATTTGATATGCAAATGAGAGCACTTGGGGTTAGCAAGTGAAAGGAAAGCTTACCAGTGTTGTAATGCTTTGTGCAGTAGCCAAGCTCCTTTTCTTCTTTCAAAATAAACTGGGGCAGGGTGAGTCCTTCGGCTACTTGTACCGGACCATCACTTAACCATTCAAATATCAGGTCATTCATGGTGTACCCAACTGGAGGAAAGAAATAGTAACAAACCATGTGTCTTTCCTAGGAAACTGAAAAATCTATAGACAGAGTGAACAAGCAGGGGAAACATTTCAAGTCCAGTTTTAATAAGACTACATGTCATCACATTCAGAGAAACTGAACACAGCAAGATATTTCTGATTAGTGTGTGTGTGTGTGTGTGTGTGTGTGTGTGTGTGTGTGTGTAACAAGAGAAAGGAATTTATAGAATCTTTTATCTCCTGCTTCTTTATTCACTAACTCTCTGAAGAACAAACAAGTAAACAAAACCAAAACCCTTTGAAGATTTTCTTTGCTTGAAAGAGCTGTGTCTATGACAGTTCAATAAGACAATCCAATTCATGGTGCCTGTCTTAGTATTTCAAATGAAACCATTCCTTTTGAAATGTTTAATGAGAATGAATTAATTATAGACCTGCCTGCTAGTATTACCAGTGCATATTTGGACCTTTCTAGAGTGTTAGCTTGACTTGTAGGAAACTTATGTTAATTACTGAGTGTAAATTCTCAGTCATTTTTGGTTGTGAGCCTAGCCTTTAATGGCTGAGCCAGCTCTCAAGCCCAACTTTAGCAAGTGTGAAAGGCTATAGGCAAGTCATTTAAGAGGACCTTGTATAATACATAACCAAGAACCGTGACACAGGAGCTGTGTTGATACAGTTGATACTGTTGATACAGTTCTTGCCTAAAATGGACAAGGTCCTAGGTTCAATTTCCAGCACCATTTAAAACAGCAAGTGGTGACACATGCCTGTAGAGGTGGAAGCAGGAATATCAGACATTCAAGGTTACCCTTTACTACATAGTAAGCCCAAGGCTAGACAAGGCTACATGGGACCCTTTCTCAAAACAAAAACACATCACGTAAGAACAGTTATGTTTGCATTGCTAAACTGCCCCACTCATTATTCTCATGAAGTAAAACAGGCCTCCTATTTCATAAGGTCCAACTGTTATATGGTTAGAATCATAGCAATAATAGAAAGTAAGATAGTTATTTGGATCATTGTCAATGTGTCTGTGTATTTCTCCATCCCAGAAATGACAGCTAGTTTTTTTTTTCACTCATTATTTCTCTGCCGTCCTTGTTTTTGTTTCTTGATATTTGAACTGTGGAAAGAAAACTAGTGAGAACAAAGAATATTCTATGAAAATTGATATGGCTAATAACTGCAGCATATTTATTGTTTGTAAATTCTTATTCTTGCTTACTACAAAATAGCAACTCACTGACCCTATCTACAAATCAATGTTAAATTGATTTGCTGGGTTCTTTTGAGCATCTTTATATAAAGCAGCAAACTGGAGTATGGCTCCTTCCTGCTCAAATATTGATGGTCCAAATAGGCAATAGCTAACTTATCTCTCTCATTGACAATCTGTATGAATGTATTCTAGCTACCTCCAACAAATACTTAATGGGAAAAGGCAAATCTACTGATTGAGGCTTTGTAAGTCTTAGATGAGCCTCTTTTGATAGATCTGGGTCCTGTTTTACAGAGAAAATGAAACGATTAGGTTGAGTCTGGGGACATATAAAGTAGTAGAAGAGATTCATTATTGTATTAAAATGTTTTCTCAACTTTCTTCTCAAGAGAAGGGGCAACATGCAATATATATATATATATATATATTGCATTATAAATAAAAATTCCCATTTTATCTCTGACAACATCTAGAAACAAATATTTTTGTTATTTTGTCTATTACTATAAGAAAATTCAAGAGAAATCCATATAGACTTTAAATGATCAGAAATAAGCCATCAATGTTTCTTTTTAAATGATAGTTGATGTGCCTTTTTACACTTATTAGTTTTATAAGCCAAGAAGTTAAAAATATTTCCTTGCCCCTGTCTCATTAAGTCTCCTAGTATCCCTTTAAGTCAGTAGCACTTAATATGTTTTTGGACTCTGTAAACAGAGTAACTGACAAGTGCAAGCCAGAGGAAATTTCATGTATCTTAAACTGAAAATCCCATTACCTTGGAGGCACAAGCAATTTATGGCACATGTCAATGATTTTAGTAGCAGCAAAGTCAGAACATAAAGGAGACAAAGGAGATGGTATTTTCCTATTTACTTCATTTTGTCTTAGTGTAGCAACTGCTTATCTAAGGAAGATGCCAACTCTTATTCCTTGTCAACTTATGACCTTCAACATTCTATTCATTTATTTATATTGTTTTGTATTGCCGAGGATCAAACCCAGGGCTTTGAGTATTTTAGGTGAGTATATTCCTACTGAGCTTTAGTCCTCTCTTTTTGAATCCTCCTTTGGCTAAGGGTCTTGTGTCTGTTCTCAAAGCCACCATCCCTTTCTTCCAGTGTCTATTTGGATGCTTTGATCTATATGAGTGTGAGTCCAAAAGAAATACAATTTTGTAATTAGATTCTTTATAAAGGCAAGTTAGAGAATAATCACCATTATCAAAAGAAAAATTTTCATTTCATAGAAAATATTGTTAAACCAGACTTGGGTTGGTTTTTATCTGAAGAAGCGAAATTTCTTTAACATTTCAAACTGAAAGTTTGTTTTGATGTACTGATAATGAGCTTCTCCTATTAAACACCCATTCTCCATTAAGACATTGGGTGTTGGGAAATTTGTAGAGAGTAAGCCTTACAAATATTTATTCCGTATTGGCACACTAAGAGAGGCATGCCAATGGTTACCACAGACAAGTAGTCATTTAATAGCAGTTACGTACAACTCTCCAGCTGCATTGTACAGGTCTGAACATCCATTGGAAAGTTCTTCAGGTCCATGGGACAAGATAAAGTCAAGGTGAGCCTTAACAAAGGAAAAAAAGTGAAGCCTACTTTAGAATATGTGAAGTATAATCCTTGAAAGACAAAAATTCGTCCATGATTAACAAAACACAATGACTCAAATATTGACATCTAAGCTCTCAGGGCAATACTTTTAAAATTTTTTATTTAAAAGTTTTTTTTTATTTTATATACCAACTATAGTTACCCCTCCTTCCACTCCTCCTGCTTCTCCCTTCCTTCCCCCAAACCAACCCCCATCCACTCTTCAGAAAGGGTAAGGCCTCCCATGGGGAGTCAACAAAGTCTGGCATATCAAGTTGAGGCAGGACCAACCCCCCTCCCCCCCGTTGAGCTAGGTATTTCTCCATAGGGAATGGGCTACAAAAAATCAATTCATGCACAAGGGAATCTAGGTACCACTGCCAGTGACCCCACAGACTGCTGAAGCCACAGAAATGTCACTCACAGAAGAATAGCTTTAGATAATTTTTCAAAATATTTTCACATTTCATTAAATGCCCTCATTCTATTTTTCAAAATCCAGCTTCTGAGTATTTCTCACTTCTAGATTTTTTTTCTCTCCAACAATGATGCTCATCTCATGTTATAATGCTGTAATATGAGCAATGGGCTCTTAACCACAATGATGAAGAAAGACATAACATTTATGTTGTTTAATAATTATACCCCAGATATATGTGCATATATATATATATATATATATATATATATATATATATATATATATATATATATATATATATATATATATATATGTGAATATATATACCACATATTATGTGAATGGAAAAGTAACGGTTTTCCTTCCATCAAATGGATAAATACTTGGCTTCACAGACTTTTCATTTACTAATCCACACGGATGAATTAGCAACATATTGTGTCATTCATTCTAGGATTTCTACAGTTATAGAGCAAATAATCCTTGAGTGAGGAAAACACACTTTAAGATACATGTTTGTACAGTCTTCGTCTCTCTGTACTAGAGGAGGTGACTCTGATCTCTTTCCCCCTTGAGCTGTTCTGAGCTCCAGCCTTCTCCCCATTGGGCCTTAAATCAAGATATACATTGCTACCATGTCTTTTTGTTTACCCTTTTACTTTTGATTTCTCATGGGAATGATCAACTCTGAAATTCTTGTACTTTTAAGATTCAAGGAAGCCAATCAGAACTGATAATCAACAATCCCAATACCCCAATACTGCCTAAACTACATTTTACCAAAGTAAGATATTAAAACTTCCTAAATATTTGCTCCTCACTGATCAAATTAGGAAGCAGGATATAGGATTTCCATTCCCATTTGATGCTAGTACTTCATGGCTCCATATTTTGCTTGTTGTACATCAATCATTTTTCATATCCAAACATTTATGTGACTATCACACTATTACTAAAAAACCTCCCTTGCCATTATGCTCATCCTCAGGTTACCTCTTGATTTGCTTCTCTTTGTTTTCTATGGTTCATTTTGTATTCTTTTCAAGCACAAGGAAATTATAGCACACAATTTTTTTTTTTAAAAAAGAAAGACTTGAGATTTGAAGTGAGAATAAGGAGTCCATGTTGATGGTTGTCAAAGCCATTAAAATACGGCAGTAATAGGTACAAGCATGACACAAAGCAACAATAACAGAAAAATATATTCCATCTTGGGAACAAATGCACCCCTATACAAAAAGTAAATATTTCTAGTTGCTGGATATACTCATAGTTATTTTTGTTTGTTTTATTCTTTATTTATTCTGTAGCATCTATGTATAGGTTGTTTAAAAATGTTCATAAAATCCATTATAAGCTTTCTCATCTTCGGGAAATGAAGTTTCTTTTCAAGATAATAGCTGAAATGTAAAATTAGAAAATACTATTTTATTCCATATTTTTAGACATAAAAACAATATTTATCAATTTTGGAGTTCATTTGTAGATGTAAATATATGGGTATCTACAGATTTCCCCTGTATGAAGATTTGTTTTGGAAAAAGCAGGCATTTGCTGTTAATATCACAAACTCTTCAAGATAAGGACAATGAAAAAAGCAAGAAGAAAACTGTAACTAATAAATGAATAAATAAATAGCTGATTTTTAAAAATGGAGTAGTGGTAACTCGGAAAGATCCACAGGTTTAAAATGATTTTTTTTCTTTTCCATTTTCAAAGGCATAATATTTTCATCATACAATAATATGTTTTTCTCTGACTTTTTTCTTGTAAATATTTGTTATAAACAAGTATGAAGCTTAATTAGGAAGAAGAGGGGTTTTCTGTGAGCCTTATTGCACAATATTTTGAATTTAATAAATAATGTGTTATACATTTCAAAATTGCTGAGAGTAAATGCCAAATGTTCTCACCATAAAAATAAGCATTTGAGGGTGATGAATAAATTAACTAGCTTTATTTAATTACTTCTTGTATTAATAAATCATATTACTTTTGCCCCCTAAAATATATACATAGCCATAGCTTTTCAATTTAAAAATCATTTAAAAGGAAAAACTACAATGTTTGGCATATAACAATATTCAGATGGTGTGGATAATTAAAGTGGATTAACACACCAGAAAATCTGGAAAGTTCATTAAAATTTTGAAAGCCTTACTTTGGGAAATTAGAAAATATTAATGGAAGTGGGTGTAGTTTAACACTTTGCAGTTGCTATTGTGACAACTCAACTCCGTTATTCATCACCATAGGCTAACTGCACTGGATTCTTTTGCAAAATGAACTGACCACATTGTTCAGGGAGCAGAGAAACTCTCACGTAATTACTCCTGCCTTTGTGTCAGATCTAACAATCCCACAGGGACACAGAATTTTATTAACAGCACAGATGACTGAACACACTGAGAAAAATTCTCCACAAATATGAAACGATCTCTGAATCCTGTTTTAGATGAGAGCTCGCGAGTTAGTTTTTTCCCCTTGCTTACCTACATTTCTTTTAAGACAAGTTTTACATTTAGAACACAATGAGCTCCAATAATCAAACAGCTGTACACTTTGTTAAATCATGTCATTGGGCAAGGAAATGGGTAGGGACTGTAAAATCTAATTGGTCCTGCGTGAATTGCAGTTTCAAATTTATGATGTCTGGTTTAACATGCATCTGGAAGTCTAACACAGGTTTCTTTTGTTTTCTCTCCCCCTCATATGACACATACACTAAACAGAGTAAATGACAGAAATCTAAAATTTCAGTTCAATGACGCTTTAGATTTATATCTACCCTAGTAATAAATACTCTGATCCAGACTTACAAAACTCTCATCACCCCCAGAACATTCCTTTGTGCCTTCTTCTCAGACCAGAACCTCCCAAAATAACTTTCACCTCATTGTTATGAAAAAGACTAAATGTGATTCAAATTTAAAAAGCAAACTCTACATTATTTTGTACCAAGCAGAAATTATAATAAACAGGTTTGATGTGAAAAGCCAAATCATTAAAAAAACATGATAAATTTTGATGTATCTCACAGTTAAGTATTTAATTTAAAATTCAAGTATTCTTCGATTTTGAAACGTAGAGTTTACATTATTGGGCACTGCCTATAACATGCCAAATTTGTTCTTTTCTCCATAGCCTGAAATATTAAGACCACTGCACCTAAAGCTATTGCTCTGAGGGCTACCTGCTTCCTTTTGAGTTAAAGACCTCATTTCCTAAAGCATTATCATTCATTTTTCCACTGTCAAAACATACATACACATGTACATACATACTCAGAGAAACCCCATTCCTTTTTTTTCAGAAAAAAAGGAACAAAATTCCCAGAGGCCATAGATCTTTACTGAGAATGAGAAGGCTGAGCAAGCATTTAGACTTTAAATGTGAAGAATAAAGCAAAGTGCAGAAAAACTGTTTCCCCACCTTCCATATGGTTTCCTTACCTTCTCCCTTACTCAGTTCACCTTGCTCAGAAAGCTAACTCTTTGGCTCTACTTTGCTTAACAATTAAGTTATTTGTAGATACTGGTATTATAAAAAGTTTATTATCTTTATCTTGCTTTAAATAAAATATTTTGTGTTTTTAATTTTTTTTGAGACCTTTCTCTTTTACTACAATGCAAGTTCATAAAGGCTGGCACTTTCTTCCACAGTCTAAAAACCATTCCTTGCACAAAGTAGACATTCAGTAAATACTTGGTGAACAAATTAATGTATTAGCATCCTGGAACTGTATGGGACATTTTCAGACTTATATTCTATGGACCTAGGAAATGACAATGGCTTTAGAAGGAAGAAGGCTGGTTATCAGAGCCCACAGAGTGTAACTAAATTACAGGACTATCAAAGGAATGCAGGAAAGCTTGCCTGAGCCCTTTTGTTAGTAGCTAGCAAAATTTTCATTAGAAATAAACTGAATAAACTCAAAGCAAAGTGCCAAAATGCATTGTCTGTCCTTGAGCCACAGTGGGGCAGCTAGGTCCATAAGCACGGCTGGTCTTGCAGTACGAGAACAATGGAAATCAATAATTTAAAACATCATCATGATGGCAGACAGGTTTCTTGAGTCTTAAAGCAATTTAGAGTCATATGAAGCTAAGTGTTAAACTTGGGGATCTATTCTAGAGAGAATTTTGAAGCAAGAATACCAATTGAAAAGAAAGGGGACTTTTAGTCCTCTTTTATGATAGTCCCCTATCATACATTTTAATGGATGATCTACTTGCCCTAAAGAAAATATTTTCAGTGTGCTATTTGGAAAGAGTTGCTTTAACATTTACAACAATCTGTCTTGTTTAGAAAGGGAGGGCAGAGGATCCTTTTTTTTCCAGGAGGGAAAAGGAGCTTCCTGGGTATTGTTCCTCTGTTGGGGACCATGTTTTCTGCACAGCAAACAGTGGCACATGGCTACCTCTGAGAGGGTACAACATGCGGTGTTCTTCTAGTATCAAATGACTTAAGAAAAATAAAAAAATACATGAATCATGATAATAATAAAAAGAATCACAAATTCTGTGGATGCACTCTGTAAACCAAACACACTCAAC